GTGGTATGTGTAGGGGATTGTCCTTTGTAACCACAGAAGATACTCTATATCTGCTAACACTCTCTCTGTGTCTCTCTGTCTCTCTGTCTCTCTCTGTCTCTGTCTCTCTGTCTGTGTGTGTGTGTGTGTGTGTGTGTGTGTGTGTGTGTGTGTAGCTGGGATTGTCCTTTGTAACGAGGGAAGGTACTCTGCTAACTCTGACACTTTCTCTCTCATCCTCTCTCTGTCTCTCTCCCTCCCTCCCTCCCTCCCCTCTCTCTGTGATGCGGAGCTAGGATTGTCCTTTGCAACCAGGGAAGGTATTCTATATCTGCTGACTCCGCCCCAGCCCTCTTAGCTGGGACCAGGAGGAAGGAAGGATTCTAGTCTTTCCCACTCTGTAAACTGAAGCAGAGGGCCCAGAGGTCCAGGTCCAGTGGAGCTTCTGGCCAGTAATCACTCAGCCAAGCCCTGTGTAGAAAGAGGACCCCTTCTCCCCAGATCCTCATCTTGGGTACCACGTGGGGCCGGAATTGTCATGATTTCAGGCATGCCCTGCCTGATGGATGTCCACAGGCCTGGCCTTGCTCTCCAACACCCTAAGGTGCTACTTTGCCTTGGGTTCTGCAGCAAACAACTCTACAGGCTGCCGTCCACTGCAGAGCAAACAGCTTCCCGGGGATTCTCAGGCATGTACAGAGAGCAGGCTGAGCCGCCCCACAGTCAGGATTGAATTAGAATCTTTGTTCTGGAGAAGGAACCATCCGGCTGTTCTGAGGACTCAGACTCGGGAGGCCTGCCTCAGTTCAGATGTCTCCATGCAAGAGAAACCGGAGGGTGAACAGCAGCGTGTGTTTGTTTTGAAGGCTATTATGGGCCCCGTGGGCAGGATGTGTTGCCAGCGGCTGCATCCGCTGCTCCCTTCCTCCTATCATTGTTCCTCTCAGAACATCGTGAACTTGGGACAGTTCTGGAAAGTCCCAGTTCTAGGGCTAATCCTGGCCATGCTTACATCCTGGGCTCTGCTGGGAAGTGCCCACCTACTGAATACATGGACCATTTCTGCGCCTCTGCGCATCGGCATGTGCTTAAGGATCTGCTCGGAGGCCGGAACCCTTGCATCAGAAGCTAACCACAGCCAAGTCTTGCTCTTTAGGACCTGCGGTTTCTGTTCCCACCTGGGCTCTGTGTCCCCAAACTGCCGTGGATTTAATGCCCAGTGTCAGGCCGATGTGGAAGGCTGTATTTAGTTTTCTGGCTCACTCGCCACCTGGCTGTACATATTTGGAGAAAGAGGACCACAAAGCCACTAGTGCGTCTCCTGCCTGGTTGGCAGGCACTTCCCAGTGCAGCTGTGTCTCCACACAGGCAGATGGATGCTCAGCGCAGACCTGATGCACAAAGCCCCTTGGAGTGGCTGAGCTCTCTGTTCCAGCCTAAGATGCCCCGAAGCCCATAGACTGCTGTTTGGGGCCACCACCATCATACTCTGTACTCTAAGGACCTCTGACTAGGGAAAGGTGGCCAGGGACCAGTAGAGGAGTGACATGAACAGCTAGCTAGCTCTTCTCATGTGACTTACCACACCTTGGTGAGGAGGTGGTCAGGTTGGGGCCATGGAAGCTTCTGGATGTTTGTCCACCCAGGCTGTAGCATGATGGTGCTGGATTCACGTAACCAAAACGTCTCGTCTGTGCTGGAAGCTTCAGGAGCTGGTCATAGAGGAAGCTCTGTCCAAGACAAGCTGCCTACTAAGCGGCAATGGCCAGGCAGGGTGGTCAGAGGCCTGTGGATTCACCTCAGTGAGCCTGTTATCATCAGCACTGGCCGTTGAATACATGCTGGGCATTGTGCAGTGCATAAATATGACTTGCAAACATCAGTCCCACCTCACTTGCTGACCCTCGGGAAATAATAATTAACCAGGCCAGAGCTGCTGGTTAGAGGGGCTAGAGATCGGGCCTCTCAGGTCACACTCGGGATAAAGCTGCATGCAGCCTCTAGCACAGAGATCATGGGCTTAGCAAACGGCTCCGTGCGTGGGCTTTCCCTCTGTGGATACCGTTCCTCTGAAAATCCTGATGCTTCTCTGCCAACTCAGCAAATAGCACAGCCTCCCGTCACTTTTTTTTTTTTTAGTAAAACTAGATTAGCTAAATTCCTACAACCAAGTTGACCAGTCATGTGCAATTCTCTATCTCCAGACAGTGTTCAGTGGGTGCCTACTGTGTGCAGAACTGTGTCCTATCAACACAGGGTATCAGGTGTCCTAGGGAAACAGAACAGAAGCACATCAGTCCTGTGATGGAAGGACCACGTGTGGAAGTAGAGCTGGAAAAGTGAACACAAACCGTCAGGAGCAAGAAGGGGGCACAGAGCATACAGTGTGAGTGGAGGAGAGGCAGGCAGGAGTTTGGCGTGCACAGCTCTAGGGCTCAGAGGACACAAGGAAGAACAGGCTGTCTAGATAGTGAACATCCCTGTTGACCTACTGTCTGCAGGGCCTGCTCCAGGCACGGAAATGGACCTGATGGAAAATGAGTCATTCGACTTGGTCCTCCCAGAAGCCATCTAGCTTCAGTTCCGTCCTTTAGGCTCCTGCCCAAACATCCAACACCACTAAAACGTTTCCCTCTCTCTGCTACCTGCCAGCACATATAGTCTGTTCTGTGCATCCTGGCTTTTGGTCCCCGCATAGGTGTCTGAGATCATCCCTAACAAAATGAATCTAAACAAAACAACAACAACAACAACAAAAAAAAAAAAAACTCCTTAACAGTTCTGGAACATAATTCGTGGGTATGTATAGCCTCCAAGGACCACCTCCTCCTTCTCCCTGGCTGCTGGGGACTGCTGAGCCACCCTGGGCATATCCCAGCGTGTGTCCAGCTTCATCCTGGTCTCTGCCTCCAGCTTCATGGGACTTGTGCCCCGTGTGTCTCTTGTCTTCACACAGTGGAGTGGTCTCTCCCACATCTCTGTGCACCTCATTCCCCTTCGTAAGAACGTTAGCCATGACGCTAGTGTCGCCCAATCTAGTATACAATACACTTCATTCGCTCTTAACCATGCTCATAGCCTCGATCCCTCAGAAACCATCCTCAAAGCTTCTCAGCCTTCCTATTGCTTTGGCCCTTCAGCACAGTTTCCCCATGCTGTGGTGACCCCCTCCCACCCCCAACCATAAAATTATTTTCATTGCTACTTCGTAAGTGTAATTTTGCTACTGTTATGAATCATAATATAAGTAATACGCAGGATATCTCTGATGTGCGACTTCTGTGAAAGGGTCATTCGACCCCTCGAGGGGTCGCGACCCACAGGTTGAGAACCACCGTTCTGGGCTCAGGCTTGAAATTCGAGGAGACCCTCTTCAATCCATTATATCCACCTCCTGCCTTGGACATTCGGCATTCACAAGTGTTCCCAGGCCAACAATATTCCCTCCCCCCTTGTCTTGTCATACTGGGTTCTGGTGCTGCATCAGGCTCTGTGCGGAGCCCGTGGTTTGGCGTCTGTTCTTTGTGCATCCTGCCCGACTAAGCTTCCTTGGCTCTCAGAGATGTCTCTGCTAACTGTGGAGACAGCGACATGCCTGCCTGCCTTCCTACAGGGCAGGGGAGGCCTTTTCTGGAGCCTTACCTGCCCTCCGGAACATTGTCTTTGTGTGGCT